TCGCACTCCTACACTCCTTTCTCATATATTTGAGCATTCTCCTACCAAAATGCATAGAGGTGAAGCTTCCAGGAAAAGAAGGGGTTCTTCTGGCCTAAGTGCTTCCACGACCCTAATTCCACAAGACCCAACTCAGCTCTCGCCCCAACACCAGGCCCGCCTGGAACACATTCAAGGGTACACATGGCACCCTATGCTGAGTTTGGACTTCGGCATTCTCGCCGAATTCGGCTGTGAAGATGATATTCGTGCCCACCTCGACAGCATTGGATGGCGCTTCCTCCTCCAATCTCCCCCCCCACACATCTACCCTCAAGCGGTGATGGAATTTCTCGCCTCCATCACTTACTACGAGCTCCCCACAATGGTGTCAGGACTCCCGCCGGTCAAGATGGTGTCCTACTTCATGAGTGGGTCATACCGGACCACGACCCTGGACGAATTCAACGTGTTTATTGGATTCGTCCGGCCCGAGGATATCCTGACCCAGGAATACCGAGAGGCCATCTGCGAGCGCCCACCTACCCTCACAGCCGGTGAGATGTGGGAGGATCTCACTGGGATGCGCACCTTGCCATCCCTACTAAAAAGGTCCGCACTCACTCTCGCTCTCTGCATTTGCCACAAGCTGCTGGTTGGGACTGTCCACGGGCGGAAGGAGAGTCAGGGCAAGGTCACCTACCCAGAACTCTTCGCCCTCTACTGCATGAGCCAAGGGCGCCGATGCAACCTCGACTACTTCTTCGTGAAGGCCCTCAAGGACTTCGGGAGTCATCCTCATGGCTCCCCTCATCACCCTGTTGGCAGAAAAATGGGGGTGCAGTGGTGGAGAGAACGTCTCCTCCGACCTTCGACTCGAGACTATCAACGGGTCCATACTTGTCAGCATGGGAATGCTGATCCGCCAAGGGTCCCGGTTAGCCCTCCACCCCTCCCTAGCCATGACTCTCGACCTCTAGGACCTGGTGGCGATGCAAGATCTCCCGACACCCCCGGAGTTCCAGAAACAACAACAACAGTAATAACAACAACAACAACAACAACAACAGTATACGGACGACTTTGTTGGCATCAACCACAACATCTATTGCCTACGCCAGCAATTCGACTAGATGTCCCTAAGATAGGACCACATGTCTCTAAGGCAAGATGTCTTCGAGACAAGGATGGAGACCTTCGGCCAAATACAAAAGGGAATAAGGCAAGACCTGGTAATGTTCCGACAAGAACACCTCGACCCAGTCCTAGACCAGGCAGAATTTCAGAGACACATGTACCTGCAATTCCCTCCTCTCGGACCGTCTCCCGTCTCAAGTCCACCGTATTAGGGATAGTACTCAAAAAATAAATATTGTAATCAAAATTTTACCATAAATAAAAATTCCTTTCATTCATTTTTGTCCTCTTTTCGAAAAAGTCAGCATAACGAAAAGAAACTAAAAAGTAAAAAGACTTACGCTTAATCCCGAAAAAACCAAAATCTGAAATCGCGAAAAAAGAGATAAAACCGCGAAAAAAGGCAGGATTAAAAACAAGACAAGCCAACCACATCGACCAAGATTTTTTTGACAACCAGCAAAGTTGAACTACGAAACAAGACTACCCAGCGACCAACAAGCTGGATGACCACCAAAGTAATTTCCGGCACAAATCGGACGACTATTCAGAAAAGTCAAAACAAAAGACAAGAGAACACATCTCAATACCGGCACATGAGTTACTGAGCAGTAAGCCGCCACCACCACCAGTCCTACGCAGTGGACTGTACCAGCCTAATGGGGGGTTCATACCCATTAACTTACGCACGAAGTACACCTGATCGGCGCATGAGCCACTGAGCAGTAAGCCGCCACCACCACCAGTCCTACGCAGTGGACTGTACCAGCCTGATGGGGGGTTCATACCCATCAAACTTGCGCACGAAGTGCGCCTGATCTGCACACAAGCCAGACCAGTAAGTTGCAACTACCAACCTGATGGGGGGTTCATACTCATCCAGTCCTACGCACAGTGGACTGCAACTACCAGCCTTATAGGGGGTTTATACACATCAACCAAAGGATCAACTATCGTCAGAAGGAGTATCCTGAGGTTCTACCATGTGTCAACCAAAAGGATCGGCTACCGTCAGAAGGAGCATCCTAGAGGCGCACAACGCACTCTTTTCCGAAAGGATTGACTACCGTCAGAAGAAGCATCCCGGAGGCATACACTTTTTCCCCAAAAGATCAGCCGCCATGAGACGGAACATCCGAAGGGTAACCGAGCAAGAGGGTTAACTCCTTCACCCTCCAACCGATCTTCTTGGCACAACAGGCCAACAGTCGGCTAGTCAGGTGAAGGGGGGGCAGCTGTAGACCCTAAATCTTGTCCGACCTCAAAATAAGAGTAGAAGACCTCCTATTTGAAGATGGATGAAGCCTAAAAATCCACTAGGAGAGACTATTAGAGTAGGAAGGATTTTTTGTACAAAAATAAGGATTTTCGCTTTCAAGGGTCGAGACCGCCGTCTCGCTTTTCAGGACCGCCATCTCGATTTTCGAGATCGCTGTGTAATCTTCTTTCTCTTATATCTTTACTTTACAAAGCATTTTAATTGGTGAAATTTGGGAAAAATTTCAAAATCCTAATTTTTGTTTAAGAAACCAATTCACCCCCTCTTGGTTTTTGTTCCTAAACGCGAACATTTCGCTGCGCGATTCTAACATGTTATTGTTTGTATTATATTATATTATATAGTTTAGCATTTAAGTAGCTTAGATTTTGTATTAATTTAACTTTTAAATAGTTTAGTCTTTATATTAGTTTAATTTTGTATTGTTTAGCTTTTAAGTAGTTTAGTTTTTGTAATAGTTTAACTTTTAATTTGTATTATATTGTATTGTAATATTTTGTATTGTATTATATTATTGTATTTTGAATTATTGTTTATCTTAACAATTTGGAACGTGAATTGTCTGTAATTAAAACATATGTTTGTAAGTTTTGGTTATAAGATAAAACAAATCGAATATTAGAGAAAAAGACAAAATTTATATCGAATATATCAATATCAATGTAAACATGTCGAGTATTAATACACCTGACATAAAATTTATCCTTTTTTTATTTTTGAAACTCATTTATATCTCTTTTTATTTTATTTTTTTTCAATTGATGCCAAACTTACATATAACATTAAAAAAAAGCAAAATAACATTTTATATGTGTTGAAGTTCCTAATATCATCGTACATAAATATTAAGAAAACAATAATAATAATAATAGAAAATGAAAGTAAAAAATGTTAGAATAATAAAAAATTGAGAAAAAAAAAGGATAAGTATAAATTTGACCATAAATAGCCGACAAAGAAACAATGCATTTGAATTGGGATGAGAAAGTGGTGGGGAGGACGAAATGACAGGTATTTAGGGTTGGAAATTGTGGAAGGTAGTTGTTGTTGGAGTGAAACAGAAAATCGTATGAATCCCACAACCACGTGTGTCTCGTGTAATTGGTCGCTTCAGATATTATTCCTCTTTTTTTCAAAACAAATATCAGATCCTAAATCCTAATTAATAATGGTAATCTTCAATTACATATTTAATGGGTGTCTAGTGACCTCTATTTAAATTTTAGAGGTGAGTAAATTATAATTTTTCTTTGTTTTTGTGAATCTTAATGTGAGATTTTAATCCAAATTACATTTGAGTTCTCATTGAATCCACCTCCTACACTTTTACTTTCATTTTTATAATAAAAGGATTTGCTTTCACTAAGAGTAATTTTTTGTAAAAATAAAATAAAATAATGAAAAAGACACCTTAGAGTTTTTATTTATATATAACACTAAAACCCACTTTTTAATGGAAAGAATAGTATATTTAAAAAATATAATATAAATTGAATTTAAGTTGATGTGATTTTTTATTTAAATTTTGCTTTAAAATTTTATAATTTTATTTATTTTGATTTACATTTTGTTTTTACTGTCAAGTATTCAACTATCTTTTTAGGTTATATAGTTATTCTTTACATCATTCTTATGATAGCTCGTTGTTATTCAATAAAACATTTTTATACCAAGTCAAAACCTTTGTTCAGATAATAAAAAAATAAACAAATTATAAAAATAGTAACATATTATATATATATATATATATATATATATATATATATATATTATAAAAAACAAAACAACGAAAGCATACAAAAAAAAAAAAAAACTTAATCATATAGCAAAGTCAAAATTCATTAAAGTTTAACCTTTCAAGGTTTTATTTCAAAAGTTTTAATTTGAACACCTAAAAAAACAAGACAAAGTAAAATTATTTGTTCATAAAACAAAATTAACTTAAACATAAAAACCAAATAAACTAGCAGAAAAATTAAATGATTTTACATTGTCAGAACCATTTATTTTAATTAATTTAATTTATTTCTAAAATATAACTTCTTATAAAAGCTTTAATGCAGTTCCATTTTTTTTTGAAAGAAGGAAAAAACTCTCACGTAATTAAAATTATGTCATTTTTTTATGAGAACTATTTTCATATGTAGGTGTAATATTATGTTTGGAGTTTTGATGGTTGCTATATATTATTTTAATTGCGATATTGGGTTTGCAAATTATTAAAATATTTGTCGTTACCAGTTTATAACATTAGGAGATATAATGTGTAGAGATTCATGTAACAACACGAATGAAACAACAATGGAAAGGATTTGAAATGAAAGGAAAATAATAAAAGAGATTGAAAAGAATTAAAATGATTTTTATGTTCATTTAGTAACATTAAAAACATAATATATACGTTATTTATAACTGTCAAGAATAAAAGGAGTAGGGGTGTCCCTGAAGGAGAGAGAAGAATTTCTAAGGAGAAGAAGAAGAAGAAGGTGTGGTAGTGACCACTGAGTGGTCAAATTACGAATCAGGGTTCACCAATTCCCATTCTCAGAGACACAAAAGTTCCCTTCAATTTTCAATTTCAACTCAAGATCTGACATCATAGAAAATGACCATGGATGTTAATCAGTTGCAGGCGAAGCTACGCGAACACCAATCTGCTATGTTTCAACAGGTTTATCTTCTCTCTTTCACTCCAATATTTGTTTTCTTTTTTATTGCTACTGTTTATTCGTTCCTCTTTCTTCTTTATGTTCAAATATATTGCAATACGACGTCGCCGTTGGTCCCCATCTTTGGTTTATACTATGTCACTGCCAAGTCATTTTCCGTCCACAAAACTCTTAACCCTCCTTTTTCTTTAACTAATAATAAAAAACGATTAATTTATTATTATTAATCAGAAATCAGGTCAAAACCCTGATGATTACCGCTTTCAATTTGTAATATTTGATTTGCAATTTTTGGATTTGTTTTTGTTGGCGTGGAGAAGGGGTTCTTGGATGATCAATTCAGCCAGCTTCAGAAACTGCAGGATGAGAGTACTCCAGATTTTGTGCTTGAGGTTGTGACTATGTTCTTTGATGATTCTGAGAATCTCCTAAAGAACATGGCACGTTGTCTGTGAGTATTATTGTGTTATTAATAGTTTTGTTTATGAAGATATTGTTGTGTGATTTTGCAGAATATTATGAATGATATGGTTGGGTTTGACTTGTTATGCAGAGAACAAGTGCCTGCTGATTTCAAACAAATAGATGCTTATGCCCATCAGTACAAGGGAAGCAGTGCCAGGTGTCTCATGCTATGTCTGATTTTTTTTTTCCATGTATTAACTGTGAAAATTATGTATCGAGAAAGGTTTGTTTGATTATATGTGATAATATTGTATAACTTGTTAAACAGTGTTGGTGCTGCTAGAGTTAAAAGTGTCTGCGCTACCTTCAGGTCTTTTTGTGAGACTAAGAACCTGGACGGGTGAGTGTGTTCTTCCATATTCCTCTTGAATCTTTGAACATGCACTTCACACACTGTTGCTCCAACACTCATATCTCATCATGTCAATTATCTTTCTTTGGCATTTATTCGTCTGTTCGGCTTTGTTCGGTGGTCAAGTTAAAAGAGAACTTTACATGTGATTTCTGAAACTTTTGTTAAAAGTTTCAGAGATCTGCTAATAGAATACATCTTAAATTGGATTGGTAATGTTTTTAAAACTCCTCTAAAAAATATGAACTACAGAATTCTCTGCTATGCTCTGTATCGTAAGGGTAGTTATTATATCGTTTCTTCTACCCATTTTGATCTGGAGATCTTTACTACGTTTACCAGAGATGCTACTGATTTTAGCTTTAATTTGGTGGATGAATTTTCTTAAAATGCGTTCCTTTGTTTGATGACTTTGAAAAAAATTATAATACACTTCATAACATAAATTATTGTTTATAGAATGTGTACTGTTTGGAACTTTCCTAATTCTGCCATTTCTTTTTCCAAAATAGATTACTCTTGCCATTCTTCAATTTGAATTTAATGGCATATGTAAATTTCTATTATAAAGATTATGGAAAGTGTTACAAAAATCAATGGAGGATTATTGGATTATTCTGGACAAAATTTTAAAATTTAATCGTTATTGTCTAAATTTTGTATATAAAGAGAAATATTTGCAATACGAGAAAAAAGTATTTGTGGTTTGTCTAAATTTGTAATATAAAATGATTATAAAATTTAAAATATAATCATAAAAAAATACTTCTTAACGAAGAAAGAAAGTATTTTTCTTTGTTTGGGAAAATATTTCATACCTAAAAATCAACTAGAAATAATGAATCTTATGAATTATAATTGTAGGAATGATATCATTATGTTTAATTAGTAAAATATTATTAAAAATATTTATAGAACTATTTATCAAAAATTTAATTCATTACCGCAATAAATTATTTAATTTAATAATAGTAACGAGTTAACATTTTAAATATTTTTTGTGATAAAAAAGTAAGATTTCATATATATATATATATATATATATATATATATATATATATATATGGAAAAAAAATTAACCAACAATCATTTGAATTTTCCTTTTTTTCAAAATAAATCATACGTGAGAGACATTTTTTTACTTGATTTAGAAAAACTAATTTCTTTTCTTACTCTGAATTATTACTTTTACATCGATTCCGGTTTCTTTTCCTTACACGTATTTTCTTTACTTTTTTAAGGAATAAAATTTGATTTATTTATATATTTATATTAAAATCCCATGTCGCACCACATTTCTTTTTCCTAATAAAATAGTATGACACAAAGAAAAAATAAATTGAATTCCCTCTTTTTTGTCTTAAGAAAAACAGTATTGGAGTTAAGTCAAGGAGAGGGAACACATTAGTTTAGTTACTGAAATACTTTTCATTACAATGGTTTCAAATTAACTGGACCTATTCTTACTGATAATCTGTTTCCCCGATAAAATATAGAGCCCAGAAGAAGAATCGGCTGTTAGATAATTATAGAAATTTAAAATCTCATTAAAATGATGAGGACCGAAAAGTTTGACAATATTTCATCTATCTTATTCATACTCATTCGTGAAATGATTGAAGTCTTATGTTTATGTCGGCATGATTATACTATTCAACTGCATCAGATAGAAGATACAGCTGCTCTCAAAGTTCTTAGTATTTATTACATACTTATATTCCTGCTAAATCTTCTAATTTCTTAGTTCAACAGTTCTGTGATTAAAATGATTCTTATAGTCAATGTGACTGTTTTTCATATCTGGTCACCTTTAAGGATATATGATATTCCCTAGTCTAAATTAATCTATATAGGAAAATCAGTTGAAAATGTTGACAGCTGTTGGGTCATAAAACATATCCTTTTGATTGAGAGCCTTAAAATGATAGCGAATATATATATATAGTATTGTTACTGCACAACTCGTTATGAGCAGTCCACAATAAATTAGGCATGATGATATATGGCTTTTACTAAGAAAAGTAGTGTTGGTCCAGGTGTATGAGATGTCTGCAACAATTGCAACAGGAATACTCTCTACTGAAGAATAGTCTTCAATACTTATTCAGGGTAAGTACCATAACATGTTGTTCTAACTTCATCTGGAGATAAACATTCTTCCATGACTTGTGTCAAGAATCCTGTTTGAGTCCTAATATTATAATAATAATAATGTTAAACTATGTTGTATTGATTATTGCAGCTGCAGAATGATATCAAGGCTGCTGGTGGTTCTTTCTCATAATGGAGAGACAGATGATTGCCAACCATGAAAATGATAACAAAGTGAAGCTTTTGATGGAGCAGCTGATTTTTTTTTTTTTTTCATTTTCTCGATTATTCGTTCAGAATTACGTCAAAAGTTTGAACGATGGGATAGTGTTTGATATGAATAAGCATTTCTTGCCAAGTTTGTCACATACGTACACTATACGATTCTTTTCGAATAATATATGTTGACAAATTTTAAGTTGCCGCCATGTTTACTCGTTAGGTGATAAACTTTATGCTTTGTCCCCTCGCTTTCTGTGACTGAAGGTGTCTTTGAAAGAAAATGTGTATGTTTTAGTATTTGGTTAACTCTTGCGTTCAATTCAAAGTGTGGAATTAAGAATTAGAGATGATAATTAAATTGAGGGGTCGATTTGTTTTTATTTTAAATTTGATGGGAAAAATTGAGTTAATTGAATATTGTACAGGTTTTGGTTTTTTTACTTTAAAAAGTATGGGACGGGTAATGTAATTTTATATTTAAATTTAAATTTTAAAATATTAATATTTTAAAAGTATTTATTTTCTTTTTTTTATTATATATAAGATTATCTTTTATATTTTACTATATTTATTTTTTTTATACTTATTTTTTAATTTTTTTATCTTTTTAATCTTTTATATTAATTAATTTATTATATTATTCTTTTTTTTATCTTTTCAATTTTTCATATTTTCTTAATCTCTTTAATCAATTTATTTATTTATTAACTTTTTTTTCTTTTTTTGTCTTTTTTTTAATATTTTATATAAATCTAAATAATAACTAATATTATTTTATTTATAATTTATATTTATTAAGTTTTATTATGTCATTTTTTTATCTTATTATTTTTATTTATCATATATCAAATTTTAACTTAATAAAATAATTATATTTTAAATGATTAAAAAAATTAATAATTTAAACTTTTATTACTTTAAACTAATTAAATAAGAATTAATTTATTAAATATTTTCTTATAAACTATATATTTCATATTTTTAAATGACAACTTAAAAATAAATTAACTTATATATTATATATGCAATCAAATATTTGAATACATTATTATTATTATTATTATTATTATTATTATTATTATTATTATTATAATATTATAAGTATTCAAATGTTTGAATAATAATAATAAAAAATAAAAATAAAAAAATAATAATAATGTTATAAATATTTTGTATAAATTAAAATACATATTTAATTAATAATAATTACAAATTGTAAAATTATAAATATTTATTTATGTATAAAAAATACATAAAAAATAGTAAATTTAGTTTATTATAAATATAATTATTATTTTTAAATAATATAGATCTGAGACAGGACGAAGACAGAAAAATTCAAAATCCAAGAGAACGTAAATAAAAACTTAATTTCTAACCCAAATGAAATAGGGTGACACCGGACGGGATCGGGAGTCAAAATCGCCTCCTGGTAATTTTAAAGCAACAATACCTGCACTAAAATATATGTTTCTAGATTTTTTTTTCCAATGAAATAAATGAATTATGTTGATCAGATTTGTTTGAATAAATTTAGTTAATTGTGTTAATTGCGTAAATTATATTGATGAGATTGGTTTCACCTTTGAAATTTTACTACGTTTGGAAAATTTAAAATACTTATTTATGTATGTGGATTATGAATTTATAATTGATTTGGTCTGATACGAAACTAATCATGCACTAATATTTTGTTTGATAAAGAAAAGATAAATAGAGTGAATATAAATAAATATGAGAAATAAAATAACAAAGATAAATATATTTTATTTCATATAAAAATATAAAAGAGGTGAAGGGGGACGAATAAAATTATATGAGAAATACTATAAAAGTTGGATCAATTTTAAAATTAATATTTTCTCTATTATTCTAACCCAAACAATTATTATTTTCAAAAGTATCCTCTAAACTAAACAAACCACAGATTATGATGATGTAAAAGTATGGCTTTTTTCCCACAAACCAAAAGTAATATAAAAACTACTACATAAAAACGTTACTAATCATTGAGATGTTAGAAGTAAACATATTTTATTTTACTCATATCTACGATGTATACTAAAACATGATATGAAGATAAATTAAATAAAAAAAATCATGAAGAAAATGTGAATAATAATTATAAGGATAACATTTTCCTTTGATTTGGGAGGTTATGCAAGTAAAGACAAGTGATGACAGGGTTGTTTTTGTTGTCGTCCAATCATCGTACATTCTGAATTTAGGGATCCATACTCCTTCAATGGACCCAAAATATGGCCCAAATCAAAGAAGGGGTGACACAATTTGCTGACTAAAGAAAGAGAAAGTTCGAAAGAATTACTTTTTCTTTTCTTCGTACAAAGAGCTTATACAAATATAATATGTTTACATTTCAAGTTATAAATATTTTATTATACATTTATATAGAGAAACAGAAAGATTTTTCTTAATCACAAATTTCGCATATGTATATGATAACTTTTTTAAATTTGATAATAATCACCCTAAAAATTAAACTAAAATAGTTTTTTAATTGGTTTATAGTATAAATTCTTTTATACTCTATTTATACATTACACTTTTCTGATACATAATATTAAATATTTTACCTAGATTTTCTACTTATACAGTATTTTTACTTTTTTTCTTTTTTTTTTAGTTTTTCATTTCCTTCATGTGTATTAAGGAGAATTAATCATCTTGGATTAATATTTTTTAGTCTTTGTAACCATAATTAGATAATTATGGTTGTTACTATTCTATTATTAGAATAACTATTAATTTCTTATAAATAGAGATACACAAATTGTACATTAGGTGGTGAATTTGAATAATAATGAAAAAAAATTTGGGTTCTTTTTCTAATATAGTGCGGTGAAATATTTGTTAAAGAACCCTAGTTTTTTTTTCAAGACTTTCTTTCAGAAATTCCTCGTGTTTATTTGTTTTGCTTCGACCATGACAGCCCCAATTACCACTCCGACTCCATCTTCCACAAATTCCAATTCGTCTTCATCTGCACTTCTTCCACAAATTCCAATTCGTCTTCATCTGCACTTCTTGATCATCTAGTCAATCCATTAAACCCCTTGTTTCTTCATGCGAACGAGAATCCCTCTCTCATTCTTGTCACGCCTCTTCTCACATAGCATAATTTTCATGTCTAGTCTCAGAATATGCTTAACGCACTTGAATCGAAGAACAAGGAGCAGATCATTGATGGTTCACTTCCTCCTTCTCCGGCTTCCGATTCGCTTTGCAATTCATGGCGGCGTTGCAACAAAACCATCATGTCCTGGTTGATTAGATCTATGACAACCTCCATTGCACAATTCGTCCTTTACATGGATACTACGACAGAGATTTGGAAGGACCTATGCGAACATTTCTCTTATGATGATAAGTTTCATATCTCTGATCTTCAAGCTTTTATTCATGAGTGTAAGCAAGGTGATTCCACCGTTTCGCGCTGTATTGGTATATTCTTGTGATCAGTGGCGGATCTTCTTAAGAACCGAGGGGGTCGTGACCCTCCTAAAGTTTTGTAACTCTTATGTAATTTATAATTTTAGCCTTCCAAACTTAATGATTATTTAATATATTTATTTGTATATTTACAATTTTATCCTCTCATCACTCTTAATTCTCATATAATTTATGATTTTGTCCCCTCAAACTTAATGATCATTTAATATATTTATTTATACATTTACAATTTTATCCTCTCACCCTTTCATCTTCTTTCACCCTTTTATATTTATTTATTATTTATTAATAATATATTATTTGTCCCCCCCAAAATTAATGGTCAATATGTTTTTGTGGTATCTTGCTGAAAATCAAGAAGGAACGTGAAGATGATTGTGATAAAATTTTTGCATGGTCTCAATGAGAAGTACTTTCAAGTTCGGTCTAACATCTTAATGATGGATCTTATGTCGTCCATTACTAAGACTTTTTTTAATTCAACAGCATGAATGCGAAATTGGTGATATTACATAAAAATTTAAGTTTTCAAAATATTACATAAAAAATATTTGATTTATAATAACTTGGAGAAAATTATTTTCATTTAAGAGACTTGACAGTATATTTTTTATAACTAAGTTAATATCAAATGAATCTTCAATGTATCATATACATAGTTAAATACTTTTAAATAAAATTATAATAATCTGTTTATTAAAATGTATATTGATGATATATATATATTGTTATTAAATTATTGTTGATTATGCATATATAACAAATTGGTAAAATTACTCAATTACAAAATCTAGGAGATACAAGAAAGGAAAGACTCAAGCTGATCTCAAGTATTAATAACTTATTGGAAAACTTTTGTTACCTGAAATTTACTAAAACTTTTTTGAGTACAAAAAGTGAAGGAAATAGTATTATTTTGTTTTTGTAAATAATAAAAAAATGCTAAACACAAAAAAATTAAATGAAAAAAATAAAGAGTTAATGTGATTGGTAGAAAAAAATTTAAAGTTATGAATTCTATTTCAATTTTTTTTTTATTATCTTTATGTGTTTGTGGACCATGACAACTTTATTAGAGTAAATTATTATGTCTGAATTATTATTTATTTTAGAACTCTAATTATGATGTCTAAAGGGAAAAGTATATATCAATTATTCTTAACCTTGGTATTAACTCCTAACTCCTAAAAGATAGAAATTTATAATTAAATAACTTTTATGTTTGTTATTCCAAAGGTACATATAATATTTCAAACCACAAACAAACCAAATATGTGTGCAACCTAAGATCAGTCGAGTTACATTACGAAAGTTCCTTCAAACTTTTCTCTTCAGGCATATTCAACTAAACTTATTTACATATTAGAATTTGTTACCTATGTTAAGTAGGGAAAGTAACTTTTCTTCGACAATTAAGAGGGTTAAAACTACAGAGTGTGATGGAAAAAATAACTTAGTGGGATCACAGAAGAAAGCTGGAAGAAAGAGACAGTACAAGGAATTACATTAATAAGCATGCGGGATGAACACACAAGAGTCGAGTAATCACCACGCAAGTCTCAAAAGGCACAGTCTCAAAGTCCTTTAATGGGACACTATATGTACCAGAATAAGTAGGTGTTTTGGTTGTTGTGGTTGGTGTATGCAACTTCTAACAGGACCATTTGGGAATGATGTGGATTATTTTTTTCTCTGATCTGCCTCCCACCATTCTATGGTAAATAATTGATGTGAGTGGCTTTAATCTGATACCTATATTTATATATGAACTGTGGCACTATGGTGTGTGTCTTGGGACCAAACTCATCACAGACATGTTCTCTTACATTCATAAAATAAAAAATAAAAATGCTTTCTAGCTTTGTCTTGATGTTGCTTGGCTGGAAATGAGTTTGAGGTGCACACATTTCCATCCACAATATTAATATCCAGTCATGTTATGCTTCATTACATACATTTATGTATTTGTCTGAGATAACTCACGATTTTCCCAAAGCCATTTTTTCACCTATTTCAACCAGAGGTCATACTCATACCCATCAACTTAACCAAATCTTAGTTAGGTATTAGGTTAGAGAACAATAAATTATAGAACTTGAAATTTTCTTGTGGGCCATTGACAAAACTTGCTCTTGAAGTAAATGCGTGTAGTAGAAAAGAAAACAAATTACTGCAGAATGCAGGGTGTGCTAGGCTAATAGTAAGAAAAAATAGGCTTTGCTTTTCTTTTTCTTCTTTTTAGTTGGGTATAGTTATTAAACTAACTCTCCAACTATGAGTCAGTGAGTGATGGATAGAAAGATTGTAGCTAGAATAGTATACCATAGTAGTCAGAATAGTTAATTTGATGGTGATTTTAGGTTAGTTATTACATTTCATAGTTGAAATAAGAAAAAATGAAAACTAATATATGTTTTACAAAATTCACCATTTTTCTTATATCTACTTTTACTGCAACCTCAAATAGCCTCTATGGGGTTTAAAATTATTACTTGATTTTACAGAGCTGTATAGCTTTTGCCCCACGCAAATAGAGCCCAGATAGTTTTTGGAAAGGAAAGTGGTAAACAAAGGATAGAAATAGACCAAAGGAAAAAAGGTAAACAATTTAGGAAAACGAAACAAACTTTCCCTATCTATGTAGCAGAGCACATGGTAGCTGAACTGATTCTGTTATGTTGACTTATGTTCTGTACCCAAGAAAAAAAGTGGGGAATAAACTCATTGTTCTACACTGTAATTGGTGAAAGCTCAAACAAGCTTTGAGCATGCATATCTTTGACCAAATATGTATTTGACTTAGCTTACTTCACCTTCAAACCACTAAGTGAAAGAGAGATATTAGTGTGCGCTTCTTTTCTTATAAGCAAGATAGAAAAAAGGGTTAAAAGTGTTTGATGGTTTGTTCCCACATGTACACATATCACAAGAAGTAAGAAAGAAAAGAAAAAAAAATAAAAATAAAGGAAAGAATAGTTCTTTCAGTTATGGTAGCTTGATTTTTAATGTTAGGGGAATTAACGATCAGTGTAGTACTAGTTAATTGAGTCTCTAATTAATGGCATCTATGCCATGCATGAAGTGGAAGCAACAATGAATAACACCAACAGTAATAAAGAAACTGATGCACCAAGTATATCGAACTCCTGAATCATGATGTATAGAACTGTGATTTTGCTTACATGAAATGAATCAGAAATGGAAGGAGAACAATTTATTGTGATCTGTTTTGCTATATAGTAATTTAATAGGGCAAAAAACTTTGAAGAAGAAGTGGGTGAAATTAGATTTAACCCATATTTCATATTCAACTGCATAGCGTAGCTGTCACTCACTCAAAAGCCCCCACATAAAGCCCACACTTTCCCTCAGTCCCTTCCTTCCTGACAATGTTGGTACCCAACTTTTGGGCTTTTTGGCTCACTCCGTCCTATATTGGTTAATAATTTTAGTGTAAAAAATCATGGAGTAGACAGCAAGAAAAGTGAAAGAGGAAATGAGTAAAAATTATTAAGAAATAAAATAAAATAATTTTTTTTCAGCTGTACAAGTTGTTTCTATTAAAGAAATTAAATCTTTTTATGACATAAGAAAATGAATAAATAATTTTTATGTTAAGAAAAAATAATAGAGCAAAATATATACTTTTCTTTAATTGAATTAGTATAAATACTTTTAAATGGTTTAATTTTTATTTAAAGTACATATTTAATTAAGTAAAAAATAGGTACTAATTATTTTAGATTGAGGAATTATTTTAACATTAACCAAAAGAACTGCCGTGTCCCTTCTCACATAAGCTTTGGTTGGAGTGACACGTGTCATTATTTTTTCGCGTGTCTAAGCGAACCAATCATTTTGACAGCTAATGGTGTGGGTTCGGGAGAGACAAGAGGCGCAGGGGAGGACGATGACGTGTGAGCCGAGGCTGAGGCACGGAGGCCAGATAGGCTCGGACAACCGTTTGATGGAAACTGTTCCCAAGAAAGAAAAAAGAATAAAAAAAGGATTATTGATTAACCCAGCTTTGGGTGGTTGAAGGAGAAAGAGTAGGAAGTACAAGAAGGCAAAGATAGTGATTGCCATTGCCAAAACATTGCGTCTTCTCTCAGAAGCCATCACACAAAGATTCACTCACTCTTTCAGATACAGTAGTGTGTAGTGAGAGTTGCTTGTCTTGTAAGCTTAATCGTCTTCTTTAAATACCCTTTTTGACTATTAGATGTTGGTTGTTCCAGAACAAAACAATCGATTCTTTAGTTAACTTAGCTTCCTCCTTCGTCTATAAAACCCTATTTTCTGCTTCTTCGTCCATTGGGTTTCAATGGCGAAGTGCGCCAATGCTTCCAATGCGCTCCTTTTGCTTTTCTTCTGTTTTCTACGCATCGAGGCCATTTTAGACCCTGCTGATTTCCTCGCTCTGCAATCCATTCGTAAAGCCCTACAAGACATGCCTGGTTCCGATTTCTTCTCCTCCTGGGATTTCACCGCTGACCCATGCAGCTTCGCCGGCGTTTACTGCGACTCCGACAAGGTCATCGCCCTCAACCTCGGCGATCCCAGGGCGGGCTCCCCCGGCCTCACCGGCCGCCTCGACCCCGCCCTCGGCAAGCTTTCCGCGCTCGCCGAGTTCACCGTCGTCCCCGGAAGAATCTACGGTCCTCTCCCGGAATCCATCTCCGATTTGAAGAACCTCAGATTCCTCGGCGTCAACCGCAACTTCATCTCCGGCGAAATTCCGACCAATCTCGGGGAGTTACGCAGCCTCAGAACCCTCGATCTTAGCTACAACCAACTCACCGGACGCATTCCTCCAACCGTAGGATCGCTACCGGAGCTAACAAACCTGATCCTCTGCCATAACCGCCTCTCCGGTTCTGTCCCACGGTTTGAGTCACACACATTAACGCGTCTCGACCTGAAGCATAACTCTCTCTCCGGTTCGCTTCCTCCGAACTCGCTCCCTCCCTCTCTGCAGTACCTCTCCCTGGCCTGGAACCAGCTCACTGGCCAAATGGACCGCCTTCTGGGCCGCCTCGATCAGCTGAATTATTTGGACCTTAGCCTCAACCGCTTCACAGGCCCAATCCCGGACCGCGTATTTTCCTTCCCGCTCACGAATCTGCAGTTGGAAAGGAACCAGTTCTCGGGCCCAGTCAAGCCCGTTGATCAGGTGTCCATCCCGACCGTTGATCTTAGTTACAACCGGTTGTCCGGTCAGATATCGCCGATGCTGGCGAGCGTGCAGAACCTGTACCTGAACAACAACCAGTTCACGGGTCGGGTACCGGCTAGCTTCGTGGAGCGGTTGCTGGACGCGAGCATTCAGATACTTTATTTGCAACATAACTATCTGACGGGGATTGAGATAAGCCCAACGGCGGTGATTCCAGAGAGAAGCTCCCTGTGTCTGCAGTATAATTGCATGGTCCCGCCCGTAGAGACGCCCTGCCCCTTGAGGGCTGGTAAGAGGAAAACTAGGCCTACTACGCAATGCAACCAGTTGAAGACCTGATCCGACCCGATAACCCACCCATCAAGTCAAAATCTTATACCTTTCTTTCTGCCCTTTATTTCTCTTCTTGCCTTTTTTTCTTTATTCATTATTATTTAATTCTGTGATAATTATGAGGGAAAGAATAATATGAAGATTGTGAATATTTTTGGATTAGATTTAGATAAATTAGCTGTTTTGGTCCAGGAGCCTCTCAAATCATATATGTTATGATTATTATCTATTACTGTGTAATGTAATATGATTAGTCAATTTGGAAAAACAAAGAAAAAATTATTGATTATTATCACCATGATATTTCTATCAGTTGAAACTCTGTTATGTCATCTCTTGTGAATTGATTACTTTTGTTTTTATTGTCATCACTGGTATCATTGCATTGGGTTGGGACACTTTTTTTCTTCTTTTATGCTCACTTAAAATGGTGCTTGCTGGTGTCGTGGTAGAAGTTTCTAATGATTACACAGTGGTGTGGCATTGTCATAGCTTTAGTACGAATTGGATGAGAAGAGAAGTAATGGAAAATTTGGAGTGATTATGTAGCAATGCCAATTGGTGATTGTTCCATCATTTCAGTTTTTGCTTACTTTGAGAAGAGTTGTGTGGCACATGATTGCAGATTTTCAGATAGTATCTATCCTTTTGGGGGAAATGGAGTGGTGGCCATTCGGTGCAATTACCGTTTCTTCAGCTTTTTAAGCTTTTCATGAGCACGAGTCGCTGCTCCCTACAATGGAAAATGGTTGTAGGGACGACAACCATTTGGGGATATCTTTTTTCATTGCAGTTTGGGTCTGGACTAACTCTCTTTCTCTTTTTCCGCCCTCTCTGTGTGCGAGTGCAGCGACAAGGAATCATCATGGGAAAAGGCAAACGTGAAAAAAACAAGAAAGAAGAAATGAGATTAGGTTGGGTTGGATTAAACTTGGCTAATGTCAAAGCATGATAGAAAAAGTAAATGTGAATAAAAAACAAGAAAAAAGAACCAAGTGGGCACATGAACCTGCTAGACAACCTAACACTAAAACATCGAAAACAACCTAACGCATTTGGTCAACACATCCACTACTCTATCCATATCTACCTCTGTCTGTCTTCGTGCTGTTGCCTTGTTAGATTGGATATTCTATAGCTCAGGTCATACGTCAAAAGTTTTGGCATAATGAGTATCTATATCTGCTAATATTTGATGAAATCTATCATCAAACGTTTTCTCGTTATCCTAATATTCACATAGAAAATCTTCGGGGAATTGTAAATAACAATCTTTTGCAATTTTTCCTTTAAATAAATGAGGTGTTTCTTAAATTTTAATCAGACCGTTGTCGCCAAAAAAATGAAAACATGTAGCTCTGTTGGAGGCCCCAAACCAAACCCTCTATGTTTTGTTGCCTGCATCGTACTGAGTGTACTTAATTTACTCGACATTTCAGTCATTTTCTTTGTGGAATCTCACGTTTCACCGTCTCATAATTTGTTTGTTGCTTAGAATAACATCTTCGCTTTACCAAGAGCCCAGACAACAGAGAGAAGGGTCCACCATAGTTTTATAATTTGTTAAGATCCCAACTTCGGAAGTTTGGCCCGCTTGGAGAAACACCTATCTCACGCCAATAATGTGAGAAATTTTCTCCACTCTCTAAAAGGTAAAAAGCTCAGACAACTTTTGGAACACTTTTGCTTTTAAAATGCATGTACTAATAAATCAACTTATGAGGTCTCTCAAAATCAAGGAATCAAGGTATTGTGACAAAGGAAAATAACACGATAAAACACCAAGACAAATGAGACTAAGAATTAAGATTCTCATGACATGCACAACGGCACAAACAACTACAGTAATATAGGCATCTTGGTAGTGGCGTTTGGGCAAACATATGCTATCACTCTTTTTTCTATGCTATACAGCTACTGAACTGAAGAACGGCCTAACTTCGAAGAAACCAGAAGCATTATTAGCTTTATTCCTCATCTTTAAGGTGCTCCGCAATAATTAGGGGTACAGTGTACGTGTAGCGAAATCACCATGCAGCAGTCTAGGTTCACCACAAGAAGACACAAACCAATTAATGACGCAATTTACATTATTAATAATTTATTCCAGGCAAAGCGTGTACTAATGAATCAATTCAAATCTCAATTTACATGGTTATTTATGTACAAAGGTTTTGGGGCAGTTCATGTCATGACTTACTTTGTCAAAACATCCTATACAAGTTCATTAACAACAGGGTATGGATCCCCCAGATCATTTCATAACTGAGTAGACAGCCGTCATTCGTAATCGTCATAAAAATGTCTTGTCCATACCCTCTTAGCAGAAGTGGCTGATCTATCACCACTCCCAGCAAATTCCCATTTCACGACATCTCCATCCCAAGAAGAGCTAACAAGCATAGTTTGGAAGGGGTGCCAACTACAATCTCTTACAGGTGATTTATGGTGCTTCAGTGTCGCAACTTGAGCTCCGCTCACCTGTAGTGAGTTATCATAGTTACCATAAAAAAGAGAACCAACTTGAACTATTTGTTTTGTTGCGATTTTCTTTGTAAAATAAACAACAGCAGTACAATCTAACTGCAAAATTTCCTGATTATTCACAGTAGCCAGATCATGGTATTTAAGGTGGAGTCAGCAAGGGTGGTATCACGGTGTGATCACTGTCCTTGTAAGCAATTCATTGAATTGGTAATGAAGGCTGAGACCTTAGTATTATTACTCATGTTCAACTATTTATATATAATAATCCACATTTTCAATTTATAAAAAATGTAACATGGATAGAGATAAAAAGGGTGGATTACCGTTTAATATAATAGATGTTGAAATACAACATGGATATAAGGCTAGAGCAAAAGAAATTAAATTACATACCAAATCATATATATAAACACATGCGTTGTGTGATCCAGTATAGATGTACTTCTGACCAGTGCTGTAAATTAGAAGATAAAATCAGGCTAACAACATTAATCAAATCCCCAACGATACACAACTCAACAAATATTCTTGGGAAAAAAAAAAACAGTTTAAAAACACAATAGTTAATATCCTCAAGCAAGCTGCTCCAAATATGAACCTGACAGAACTTGTTTCTTATTCTCCCCAGCAAAAACCAAGCACACTTTTACAAACAATTTCATTGACTATGACAAATAATTGCAGCTTTAAGAAAAAGATCAAAAGACGACCATGACAAGAAAATGAAGAATAATTGCAGAGCAACTTGGTAGTGCTCACCTAAAAGCTGGAGAGAAATAGCAGCGGATGAGAGTGCGTAAGACCGAATGACCTCTATAAGTGGCCACTGACTGATCACAAGGGTGCGTCAAGTCTTTTGCTTGGGGTGGATAATCCATCCACCTATAATCCCATTCGTAACTCCTATACCCAGGATTGCTGCAGTAGAGAGAAAAATTATGTTATAGTATGGCATTGAATTGACAACAATTTCATCTAGAAATATCATAATCATGGAGTGGAACAGACATCATTAGCTAGGTTAAAAATCTACAAATATCACATGCAGGACTCAGTTCTGAAAATCATTCTAAGATCTTCAATTTCCAACACAGTCATGCAAACACAAGTAGAGACAGAATCATGAGCCCAACATGCCACGTCATTTTGTAACAAAATTATATAAAATTTCCAGTATTTTACATTTTTTGCAATGGAATGTAGTGAGAATGCTTCATAGATAATTCAGAATTAATCAGCCTCACAAACTGATAATATAATTTCACACTCATAATTAACTAATAGATTCTTTTAAGAAATAATATAAATTCAAATTCCACCATAATTTCACATGGAAATGTGGGTATGACTGAACCTGTATTTTGTTATACATCAGCAGCATAGAAATACTCATCAGTAAAGTATTATCCTAATATGACCTTAAGTCATGTTCTTTATTCAATAGCAATACTCACAATCTGACTACACCATTTCAATGTTCCATTATCAGCTCACTTGATTGATGATTTTCCACTACTCCAGGCATAAGATAACAAGACATATTACATATGGAAGTTTACGAACATCCTTTTCTTTATTCAAAATCACATCAGGCCCTTATATCTCCCAATACTCCATTTGATCTCATTAGCTTAGTAAACAATATCACCGTTACTATTTATTTTTTCTAAATTACAAATCAGCGAATGTATATATTGTTATCTCTCCATTGTAAAATTCAAACTTTTTAAAACTACAAGGTGCCAAAGTAAATTTAGGGAAAAATATGGATCAAAGTTTAATATACCCATATTTATTTTAGTGAAAACACATCATAAGCTTACCATTCAAGAAACGTTCACCTCAGAATATAAGTGGGTGAGTGCGGAGCATACCTGGGAACATTGGATGACATTTTGCGTATGTCCCAAAGTTTAATGGTTTGATCTTTACCATTTGAAATGAAATAACGTCCATCTCCACGGGTATCAATAAATGTAATGCCCTCAAGGTGTCCTGTTAAAACCCCTGCTGGCTTGTCCTTAGCAATTAAACAACGCCGATCCCAGACCTAAATAAACTTGTATATTAGAATTTGTTGTTCACCAACAATAGGGGAGAAAGAACAAAACTCTAATGATTTTTCATGGAATTTCTGCAATGGGTGACTATGATCAAAGAAAACTTATCTCAACTAATAACAACTTTCAGGTTCAATATTTATTCAACCTTGTATGACTATGAGATTGACTTCTATTTAAAAGGGTGCAACCACTTCCATTTAAAATCAGAAGTGTTGGATACTCAGGGAAAAAGTACATAATATCTTGACTCAAAAAAACCATCTTATGGTGTCGAACAAACCTTACAAAAACTATCATCACTCCCGGAGTAAATAAGATGGCTAGTTTCATCAGCAAAACATACAGTGTTCACATCAGACTGCAACATAAAATGAAAACCAAATGTTAGAACCCCTATGGGTTAATATTTTTGAAACATCAAAAGTCAGAACAACAGGAAAATAATGTGTATACAAAAAAAAAAAAAAAAAAAGAAAAAAAAGAAAAAGAGAGAGAGAGAGGGATGGCATAAATCCAATCTAATTCATATTTTGGCATATCTTTTGGTCGCTTGGGGGATAGTAGATAGGGGCACTGAGAATAAGTGTGGTTCTCCAGCCAGATCATCAAACCATATCCGGATTATCTATTTCTTTTCTTCTACACCAGCATAGCGCATCATAGTTGTTAGTCTTCCATATATTTCAAATGCAAATAGTGGATTAGACCTTCAATGTACCCTTCAAGCCAAAATAGAGCAGAAACCTGCCCATTACAAGTAGTAATTCTATATTTGCTAACCAAACTTATTCTCTCAAATGATCTCAAACTTTTTCACTTGAGCAAGTAAAACTTAGCATTGTGAGCTCAAAAAGAAGCTAGAACTAAAATTGAGATTCCTCCGTGGGATTCAAAAATCTACCAACATTCTCCAAATTTATTAGGAATTTTTAAGTTCTGAATACATCAATGACACAAAATCTCAATTAGAATTTCACAGGCGGCACTGAATTAAAGGCACTGCCAATACATAAAGTAGTTCATATCCAGTAGAGCAATCCATCGCACAGAATATAAAACTGCCCCTTCATGTTATGCACAATCAATTCTATATCTGTCCAGACAGCAATTATATTGTGAAATCACGAAACTTAATTCATTCTGCAACTTATCAAATAAATGTAGCAGTTATGCCTAATAACAATACCGTGTGGGCTAAAATTCGAAGGGAGAGCTTATTTGCTTCAAGATCATACACATATATAGAATTATCACTACTCCCAGCAACTAATTCTCTTCCTTCTTTTGAGAATTTCGCACAGAAAATTCCAAATGAGTATCCTCCATAATCATTTGATGAAAAATCTAAACCATCATGTATCTCCTGCATATTAGAAGAAATGAAAATATATTATTACAAATAGGAAAAAAATATCACTAAAAATAATCTATACACCAGTCGGTATCTTAAAAATATAATTTTTGAATATCAATTGCTATGTAATATTTGATAGCATTCAAAAACAATTGCAGTATTTATGAAATTAGAAGGGGAGGAAAGGGAGTAGTGTTAGGTGTGAATACTGTAACATTTGCTAGGGATTCTGTTTCAGCAGATCCGGCATTTACAATATGTACAATGGGTGACATACTGGCATAAACCTGAAATTGAAGAGTGCAGAAGCCATAAGAAAAAACCTGATAATAGTATAATTAGGCACAATAGTGTTAAAAAAATGGAATAAAAGGATGCAGAACCCAGTAACTTACCAGATAGCGTTGATCAGGTGAAAGACATGTATCAGTAATTGTCCACCTCAAATTTTTAGCTAGAATGTTCTTCTGAACTTTCCAACCTCTGTCCACATTGTATATTCTTATGTGACTTCCCTGAAAAGTGATTTAATAGGAATCAGAACTATAGCATGCATTAAGGTTGAAGCTGAAAACATATTACCTGGAATCCAGCAATAAAGAGAGAACCATCAGCTGAAAACTGAGATACATATGCCCGACTAGACATTTGGTCAATAAGCCAGGGACCATTTACAGGCAAATATCTGCTCAAAAGATGACAGCGATCAGCTGAAGAAAACCTTCCCCGTCCAGAGTAATTTGATTCCCGTCCTGCCAGCATCTTCACCGGAGAAACAGGCAACTCTGGCCTTCCAGTTCCAACTTGGACTAATTGCTTATGGGGCCTTGACTTCAATTTCGTTATCTGAGCAATTTCATCGTCTAAATTTTTTGATGACATTTTAGTTTGTCCACTACAAGAATCTTCATGGATGGCATTTCCATCTTCAGAATGACTGGATTCTATCTCTAGTCTACTCATAGCATAACCCATTTCGTCAATGTAAAGTGCACTGGATGTGGGATATATAACTATTCACAGAAATATGCAATTTTGTAATGCTGGAGCATCTTATCTCCTGCAAAATCTTCATAAAAACCTGTGTTCGTCAAACCTACAAAAAGAGTAGCTGTAGACGCAAAAATGAGTAATTTTTAGATATCGTTTTTCATGTAAAAAATTAGAAACCATTATTAGCAAAAGAGAAAAATGAAACAATGAGAAGTCGAAGATAAATCTGATTCATTCTCATGTATAAAGTTAAACACTACAGTTGACTCAAGCTAAGCCCTTTCCTTGAGAAAAGCTTCTGCATATTAGTGTTGATTTGGAATTGCTTTCTTAACTAACGCCTGGTTTGGATACAACTTCTCAATAAAAACTTATAAGGGTTATCTTATTTATCTCTTCCAAAAGCAGATTTTAACGTTTGTGTAATAAGTACTCATTTACCTTTTTATTTTCTTCTCCTATGAATACTTACTAAGAAATTTATTATCCAGGTCCTAACTCTGGTTTTCATCTTAAAATGGGATTTGTTTGTCGTTTTGAGGCACTAAACTTGAAGAAATTCACAACCTTCCGACTACCCACATAAGGTTCCAGAGGAAGGCAATTTCGCAAATACCATAACATTATGAATTCTGAAGAATATCTGCGAAACTAAAACAAGTCCACCTCGCTGCTCACAAAACCCTCTCCATGTTCCAGAAACATGGTCTCACGGCCAGACACTAAAATTTTACGAGAAAGCAAGCAAAAACAGGAATCAATTAGAAATTATCCCACCTAATTCGCCTTATCTCTAGCAAATAATTTTCACCGTGAATAATTAAAATCATGGTTAGAACAAATTGAAAGTCAACTGACATGTCAAACAAAGGAATTCGTGTAAAGTGGCACGGAGAGTCACAATTAATACGAATAAAAATGAATAAGAAAAACCATTCATGCTTTGATTATGTAAATCTTTGACATAATAATATACAATGGTGAATGGTGACAAGTGATACCTCTTAAGAGCTTTGGCTGAGGAGTGATTTACGGTTTGTTTGGTCGATTCGGAAGAATAATGCAACGAAAAGGGTAACATTCGACGGATTTTTCTGCTTTTGGCACACAAATTAAAAAACAATGAATCACCCAATCCAAGATAAATACATAATGTTACTATTACCATTAAATATTGGATAAAGGGGGTGGGTGAGTGAGGGTGAGGGAGAACAAGATTCTCTACACTGCATGTGCAGGGAGAAGCAGCCGCAAAACAACAAATCCACTGTTTCTTTTCTTCTTTCTTTGTTATTTGTTTGTATTAAAATTTAATTTTTTATACAAATTTAATATTATTCATCCAAGTTTCTTCTTGTCTTTTCACAACCATAGATAAAGAGTCCTTATTCATAAAATCAAGATTTCATGATGAATTAATATCATCAAAAGGCACATCTAGACATGAACAAAACATGATTTCGTGTAAAATCATATATAAGCTTATATCATTATATGTTATGGTAAAATATGTTTAATACTATTTAATACTCTCACAAGATATTTAATACGTGAATTTTTTTTTCTTTTATCTCACAATTTTTTGTAGTTATTTATAAAATCAAAAGACTTATGAATAATGGTTTGAGTGGATTGAAGATATATTATTTTAATGAGAGAATTAATAAAAAGAATAAAAATATAAAAGAAATAAGTTAATAAATAGATAAAAAAATTGAATATTATTTGTTTAGTAGAGTAAAAATATATGAGAAGTAAGGATAATTTAAAAAATATATATATAATTTGATTAATATAATAAAAAATAATTAATTATTAAATATATGTTTAGTATTCTCTTTATTTTAATGATGTGCTAGTAAGAAATAAAATAAGAGAAACAGGTGCGTGACGTGAGAAAAGAAAATAAATATAATATTATAAAGCGAAAATAAAAGTTTGTCTCTGAAATAAAGTAAAAATTTAAAGATAAAAATGTTTGGCTTGGAGGAGGAAAAAAAAAAAATTAATTATATCCACCTTTTTATCCCAAAGATGCCAATTTCGTATTTGTGTGAAAATGACCATTATCTAACAAAGCTTCCGATTAAACCACGTAATGTGAACCATTGCATTCAACCAATGAACAAGAAAAATCATAGAAAATAAAGATAAATAAGAAGAGCAAAGAGACGTTACCTATATATAACCAACAATGAAGAAAAACTTTCATTGGCAATGGTACAAGGACATTCTATCAGTGCAACTCCAATATGGCGATTCTACTCAGGGTGAGGAATTCACAAGCCTCACTGGTCACTCCCAATGAACTTTAGCCATTGCTTCAGGTAATATGTTATTGGTGAAGAATTAAGGGAGTGGATTTGCAACGAAGTTGGTAATTTGCTTTTGTAGACGTGCACTAAGTTAAAAAGAAAGATTGATGGAACCAATTTGCTCAGAGCCATCTTCAATTGTACGAAGAAATGGAAGGAAAAGGCAAGTTTGATATCCATCTTTGCCCGTGAGATAAAATTTTATCCCATTCTCATGCAATATTCAACGTGTATGTTGAGTTGCAGAGATTCTTAATGTTGAGTAGTGCATGACGAGTAGCCTTTACACACAGATTGAAATGCACGTTTCTTGACACAACTCACCTCACGGGTTACTCTTTACTACATGCATCTACCACCCAACCAACAATACTACCCCATTACTACACTATGAATATTCTATCAAACCTGAGCACCTCAACACTATAACTGGTCATGCGCGTTGAAAGACATAGATGCTTACTGTATCAACGTTGAACGACCTGTGAACTACAATGGATGAACCCACATGCATGACTTCTCTTTGCATTCACTGATATAATCGTAATAAAAAGGAATTCCACAGGAGTTGGCGCATAGGTGGTGGTTATTGTTACACATCCAGCGAATCAGTTTCAAGTATGCAGTTCTATCCTTTTTCTTGTACAAGTTTTTGGATTGTTGAATGATTTGAGCTATTTATGAGTGGAATTTGATTGTTTTATGTATGTCCCTAATTGAATTGAACTATCATTACTTGATATGGACTTTAATTAATTAGATTGTTGCTACTTGAATTGAACTACAATGGATGAACCAGAACACTAAGCATAATCGATTATATGATATTGTATAAAACAACTATACATTAGGGGATAATCGAGTTTGATAGCCTACATAATCGATTATGTTTGCCAGGCGAATCTTTGTATGTTAATTATATACGTTTATAGAAGTAGGATATTTCTATGGTGGAATTAGAGATTTTAATTGTATAAATAATTGTAAAATTACTGGATAGTAAATAACCATTACAAATTTTTTGTTATTGTTAATTATAAACAATTACAATTATAATTCCAGATTTTGTGAATTTTAATTATAAAAAATATGTTTGTAGCATTAAATAATTGTAAAAAATAGATAACTATTTTTAGGTAATTAATTATAACAATTATTGGAAACATAAATAATTAAAAAAATACTTATTTAAGAAAGATTCATAAGATATATTTCTGAGTAAACATTTAGGGTTAGGATGTTAGCTTATTAAATTATAAATAAATAATTAATAAAATTACATAATTACTTTTAGATAATTAAGTTTAAGAATTATTGGAATTATAAATAGTTGTAAAAACCAAATAATCCTAAGAATTGTTTTCGTAAATAATTAGGGATAAGAGTTAAATTATTAAATTGTAAGTAAATAATTCAAAATAAATAATTACTTAAATATTTGTAAAAATACTATATCAACAAATTTAGTAAATAATTGTAATTTTTTTTTACAAATAATTATGAAAAATATTTTAAATAATTTTTTTATAATGTAAAAATAAAAATTACAGTAAAGAATGTCTATTGGTTTTAGTTAGCATCCTTTTACGTATTATTTACTTAATTAAATTAGTTTTAATAGAATGATTAACTATTTATTTAAAGAATATGTTTTATTGATGTTTAGTATCTAATAACAATTCTATTATGATCAGTATTCATTATATAGTATAAGTAATTAAAGTGAAATATTTACTACAACAGAAAAGACATGTAATACATGTTCTATAATAGCGATTAAAAATGTTATTAAATGAGACGCTAATAAAAGAATGATGTTAAGATAGTGGTTAACTAACCGCTATCATAAATAAGATATAATAGCGCTTAACGTGGAACCGCTATCATATATGTGTCACTTTTAAGAGTGGTTAACGTGGAACCGCTATCATATATGTGTCACTTTTAAGAGCGATTAATATTTTAACCGCTCTTAAAAATGACACATATAATAGCTGGTTAAAACATCAACCGCTATCTAAAATCCCAATTTAAAAAAAATTATTTAAATTTTAAAATCCAAATTTTTTTCTCATAATTTGTATCTCGATAGACCACAATTTCAGGGTATATATCAAATTAATCTAACAAAATCCAGCTAACATACAATATATATTCACATAATTATAAAAAATAATTCAAAATTTGACAAATTAAAACTAAAATTTACATGAAACAAAATTGGTATATATGTACATCAAATAATTGAAATGATTAAAAAAAATCGCTAAGAGTCTATGGTACTAATTTTGTCCTTCAAAAATATATGGTAGAAATATGCACATCATTCCTTTTGTAGCTGCTCAATTCTATGATCCGGAAAGGTAGTAATGCGAGATTCTGGAAAATACTGCAAACATAGATAGAAAAGAATCACAAAAGTTAAATACCAAATTAGATAAATAATGACAATACATTATTCTTTCATATAAACATAGCCATAATGAAAAATGGCTCTTATAGTAGTTTGTCCATGCTGCAGTGCATCTCCAATGAACAAGGCTACGTAATATCCACAATCATTTGAGTTGTTTTACTTAGAACACTTTGTAGACCAAAAAACATAAAGATAGTTTAGAATAACCGCCAAGTGAAATATAAGCATGTATGAAAACATGAATTGGGATA